AGGTTCTATTTTCTTTCACAGTCTCCTTTTATCATTCCTTAGTAGGGCCTGAAAGAGCCAATCCATTTGCATATTTCTGAAATTCCCCTTTCTTAACAGAAGGCAACTGGAGTGGAAGCCTTACATGTGGATTGAGAACAGGCAGGGCCTGATGTCCCTCTTCGAGCATTTCAGCTCACAACAAGGAATTTCATTGAAAGAAAGGAGGAGAGGCCACTGCAACCAATCCACCATTGGATTCTCAATCACCTGGGCAGCTGTCATCTCAGACTGCTGGGAATAGATCAAAGAAACCCATTTCTCTATACATGCTTATCAATGGTGTCATTCTTTGTGGATATCTTTATTCTTGATCGTAAACAGAACTCCATGAGATAAGCACAAAGGAATGATTTAAGCTTTTACATTAAAGTCTGCATGTGAAATTTTCCACCCCTTCATCAATTTATGTCAGAAAACTGAAACAGCCAGAAAAAGCATTTGATTTTAAAGAATTGTGTCAAGAGTTGATACGATGAGCTAGGAGTACCAGATTTGTAGACGCAACTGATGAGTGGAAGAAAAGCCATACTAGAAGCAAGAAAAGAACCCACAGGCCATAATGAGGGTATGTGAACCAATATGGAGACCAACTTCAATGTGACATATCTGTTCCCTGACCCACAAGAATCCCAGAAAGATGATTATACAAGAAACTCCACTGAAGACAATCACAGTGTCCTCAACTCTGATTCTATGTTGAGTGTACCAGGTTTGGGATCATTTTTACTCAATGGCATAATGAACTTTTGGGACTTTGGGGGAATGGAACTGTCATCAGGCTTCTAGGGTTCCACATTCAGGGGAACCCTTTCACAACCTGCATCCTTCCTCTGGCTGTTGTTGACCTTTTAGTCCTCATAGTCCTATTCCTCACTGGCATAGATAATACTTTGAAAGGCTTTATTATAAATGCATTCCCAAGATCTGAATATACATTAATACTTTACAGTGTCTTTGGACTGACCAACTTCTTCTGCCAGCCATCAGCATGGATAGATCCTCTGCCCAATCCGGCATTGGTGCTATCACCCACCAAACTTGTCCGCCATTATTTGTGCCCTTATCTGGATCCTCTGCTCTCTCCTTTGGGTAATTAACCTTGTTATCACAATATATATATAGCTAGCATTAATATCTCAGTCCATCTGAATCTTTTGATAGCAATGCTTTGCCTCCAACTCATGACTGTCTCCAGCTTGGCTCTGTGTATCAAGGTCTGTCCTTGTAAATTGTGCATCTTGCCAAGTCCTGAAGCATCTGCACTTCCCTGAGTTACCTCTTGTGCTAACCCTGGCATTGATGAGTATCACCTACCTTCATGGAAACACAGGACAGGTGCTGCTGTTGGGAAAAGAGGAACCTCTCTTGGAGGCCCACAATCATTTCAGGGGATGAGTGTGTTTGAGTTACTGCCATGTTAGGATATGGGGAAATCCATGACAGCATGAGCCACAGCCCTCAAAGATATAGGGAGAGAATCCCCCTTCAATTGATGCTCCTTAAAAATGCCGCATTTTCTGCACAGCTTCATGGTGTTGCCAGTGTTCCATGCAGTTCTTCATCAGAATTCACCACAGGGCATGATGAACAAGATGTCTTGAGTTGCTAGATCACAGCTTCCTGGCACAGTTTCCTGGCACTTACCTACCATGAACATTTCCCCAGAATGCATTAATACACAGGGCTTCATATCACTAACTAAAATCTCAGTTCAGTTGCAACCAGCAACTTCTCAAAGGGAAACAAAGAAGCTCTATGAATTCCTTGTCTGTCTCCTTTGCAGAAGAAGTAGGTGAAACACCAGCAAGAGCTGATATTTATAGAAGAGGATCCTGAGGAACACAGACATATGAAGATTGGAGATGAAGGTCTGGACCAAGGGCACCCAACTTTTCCTCCTCTTTCCACCTGTGCGCATGCAATGATACCCGTGATCTTGAAGACAGAAGTGACAGGAGAAGAGCTACATAAATTTTTCTGGAGAAAGGACCAGATTATAGAGGCAGTTTCATAATTGGTGTGTTTGATGAGGAAATCTCTATGGGCTATGATAAATATCTGGTGGCGGTATGCAGACCCTGGGTTGCAGGCTGTGTACTCCTGCTATGGAAATTTATTATACACTGTTATTGACAGATATCTGGATACAGTTTATATTCATCTAGATGTTCTCGAGGAACTCAAATGCAAAATTGCTGACCATCAAACAAAAACAGTTTAGCTTCTGGAACCAAAAGATTAGAAGATGTTGTACACACTGGTCATGTTACTGATTATTTTATCTCTGATTGATAGTTGTGATAGTTGATTGAAAGTGCAGAAAAGAGTGTTTCTTCCTTCCTCCATCTTGGTTTCCCCATCCCTGGAACAAGGCCAATCAGAGTAGAGTTGTTGAG